ATATATATGGTGTGTGTGTGTGTATTGCAGGCATGTATGGAAGTGCACCTGTGCTGCGCAATGCCCATGGAGGCAGAAGAGGGCGTTGGATCCCCTGGAACTGCAGTTACGGACAGTTTTTAGCTGCCACATGGGTTCTGGGAACCAAAACATGTTCTCTGCAAGAGCAGCCAATGCTGTTAACCACGGAACCATCACTCCAGCCCCAACACTTGATTTTAACTATACTGACTTACTGTTTCCCCATTCTGTGAAAAAGAAAAAGTACATCTTAAGAATGCAGAATCAAATATCATTAAAATTGAAAAATAGATAGCATAACTATTTACTAAGTAATAATCTCTCAAGAAACCTTCAGTATATTAGAAAAACTTTACAGTAATATTTACAAAATGTCATTGTAAAGCGGTTATGCATGTGTACTATACAAATAGCTAATCCTCAAAGAAATACAAACACATATCTAAACATTGATTCACATGTTTTATATTTCGTTCTTGATTAAATGAGAAAAATACTTACAACCCTACAGTGAACATGGCATGTACATTTTTCCATTTGATTAACATACAAATAAATAAAAATTTTCCCTACTCTAAAAAAATCACATTATATAGCAACCAGATGTTTTAAAAAGCAACGTCTGATTCTGGTTTCCTGGTGCCACTAATAGTAGGTATTTCATGGTCAATCTCCTTTGCAGGATCAGCCATGTCTTTATATCTGTCTCCACGATGTTTTTCCAGGTATGGACCCCAGTTAGAAGCTGGTCTACAGCAGCTTATAATTCGCTGAAATGCAAAAAGAATAAAAAAGAATTCTTGTTTTAGAATTTGTGTTCTCATCTGTAAACCAGCAAATATTGAACTACATTTTCATTTTACAATTTTAAGTTTCTTTTCTAATGACAATGAAATAATCAGAGAAAAGTAAAAAGGTGATATTCTAAATTATTTTTTTAAATCTTTAATTACTGTTAACTGTTAGTAGAATTATACTAACTGCTGAACCAAAGTAACTACTAATTTCAGAAAAAAGCTTGTAATGATGTCATTGTTGGAACCTTCATTGAATTCTCACATTCTGTTTTGGTCTTAGAAAGACAGAGAGGTAAGAATCTAACTTTCTTGGATGAGCTTGTGAATTTATTGAAATCTAAGTCTCCTGAACCTACCTTTCTATGGTTGTAGTATGAAGAATTAATTAACTTTGTCACCCTAGGCCTCCATAGAAGAAGGATAATCCAAGTGTACACAGACTGCAAGATAACTTACCAGGGTGTTCAGTTTAAATACAGAATTAATATTTTTATTATACCCAGACGTGGATTAAAAAGTACAGATTACGGATAGAAGAAGCAAATGAGCCGTTTGCCTTGTAAGATCTATGCGGATAACTCAGTCCAAATACAGAGATCATAATTAGTACATTCTACAGAAAACAATCTGGCCTTTACACACACACACATAAGTGCAATACACTAAAACAGATAATTATGATGCACGTATTAGAGGGAAGAGTGATGAGTGTTACCCCATGTAAACTCTTATCTTCCCCACATATGTAATATGCAGTTTTCTGATAAGTGCCCATATAAAATATTTAAGAGTTTAATTTGCTTACCTGAAGAATGTTTCCTTCAGCCTGAGCTATTTTTATGACAGCCATTATTGGTATCCAAATAATACAGAAAATAATCATACACCAGCCTAGAGCAACTCCCCAGTCAGGATATGGAATATTAGCATAATCAGGTCTTTGAAATTGTACCAAAGACCAGACAAAAATTGCCTGTGCAAACAAAGCATAAAAAACATTAAAGGTTAGACTTTATATTACAAGTGATTCACAATTTGATTCCATTATTTAGGAAAAAATTAACAAAAACAATTAAATAGACTCTAGTCACCAATCTGATGGTCATATGCATTTATACTGAAGGACATTTGTGTACAGACACCTGAAAGAATAAGACTCAGCATGTATGGCAGAGTGCATAGGGTTCATTGCAGGGACAGGGGGAGGCATGGATGGGGGAGGGGGTCTGGCTTTGAATGGGAAATGTATGAAATTTTAAAAGCACAATAAAAAATCTTTAAAAAATGAAATGGGGCTGGAGATATGACTCAGCAGTTAAGACCAATGGCTGCCCTTGCAGAAGCCCTTGCTTTGGTTCCCAGCACCCACATGGTGGCTAATAACCATCTGTAACTCCAGTTCCAGGGAATTCAACTCCCTCTTCTGGCATCCGTAGGTACTGCACTTTCATGAGATTCACATACACGCAGGCAAAACATTCACACACATAAAATAAAAATAAAATCTTTAAAAATAAATAAATAAACGATTCAGCAACTAAGGGACTAAAATAACTGAGTAACAGGCCAGAAAATAACATTAAATGAACCAAAATTCTATTTTTACTTTGAAGCAATTCTGCAAAATTTAATGTTTCCTCATAGCTACAAAGATATATTTATTCAGTGTATAATTCAAGAAAACACTTAATCGGGGCTGGAGAGATGGCTCAGCGGTTAAGAACACTGGTTGTTCTTGCAAAAGACCCGGGTTCAAATCCCAGCACCCACATGGCAGCTAACAACTGTCCATAACTCCAGTCCCAGGGGATCCGACAGCCTCTTCTGACCTCCTTGGGCATTGCACAACATGGGTGCACTTACCTACATGCAGGCAATACATGCATACACATAAAATAAAAATAAATTTTTTTTAAGTTTAAAAAACACTTTATCATATATAATACATAAGTAAAACAAATCTGAAATAGTATTTACTATTGAGCATTTAACATTTTTCTTCACTTAAATTTACTTTTCCATTTTAATAAATAAGTAAAAGCATAAAAGCCGGTATTAGTCAGGTATCATACTATGTTTTCATATATGTGGGTGCTGGGAACTGAACCCAGGTCCTCTAGAAGAACAGTCAGTGCTCTTAACCACTGAGCCATCACTCAAGTCCCCTATTATAAATTTTTTAATTTGTTCATTGTCTTTTTTTCTTTCCTATGCAATTACGCACCAGAATTTTGCACTCTAATCCAACTGTAGCTAGCTATTGATCCATCCCCACACTCTTTCATAGTCCAAGAGTTGTGATAATCATCATTCCACTCCCAACTTCAAGGAGATAACTTCCTTACATTCCACATCTGAGTGTATTTGTGTAGTATTTCTTTCTCTGCACCTAGCTGATTTCATTTAAGATAACATTGTCCCCTTTCATTCATGTCAAAATTGGCAAGATTTCACTTATTATACAGATGAATAGTATTGCAATGTACTTATGTACCACATTTTCTTTCTTTACTTTGTTTCTTATTTTAAGACACAGTCTCACTGTATAGCCCACGCTGGCCTTGCACTTAGTCTTTTGCCAAGTTTGGCCCTGAACTCATGTTGATTAACCTGCCTCAACCTTCTGAGTACTTGCCACACCATGGTGTGAGCCGCCATTCCTGGTTTCTGTATGATGTACCTCATTTGCTTTAGCCATTGTTCATTTGGAAGACACTTAGGTTATTTCCTACACTTAGGTCTGGAGTAAATAGTGCTGCCACGGACATTAGAGTGAAGATGTCTCTTCCACATATTGATCTCATATCTTTGAACATATATCCAGGAGAATTGTTGACAAGGGTGTAATAAAAAGAGAACCCTTACCCTCTAATTCTGGGAATGTAAGTCAGTAGTGTCATTGTGGAAAGCATCATAGAGGTTCCTCAAAACAAAATAAAAACTAAAAATATCATATCCAACAACCCAATTCCTGGGTATATAGCAAAGAATATTAAATTATGTTAGCATGGCTTCTTTCTATGCCACAAGCTAGCCAGCACATACATTAATCCAATGAGAATGCAAAAGTACACTTTAGTGGATATGTGTTTCTCTTCTTGCTTAGCAACTGTTTCTATTATTATTCATTGCAAAGGATACTACTTTCTCCCCCTCACAATTTACTGAAATTTAAACTCACATGACTGGCACATGTTTACCAAAGCACATTTCCCGCCTAGATTCTTCCTGAGCAGAAAAGAAGTTCAATATAAGTTCAAGAAATGAGGCGAAATTCAAGACTAGAAAAATTGAGTCTTGGGATATAGCTCAGTTGATAGAGTGCTTGCCTAGTATTTATGAAGCACTGAGTTCAATCCCTAGTTCAGAATAAGCCAGATATGTTGATGCATGCCAGAAATCTAAGCACTCAAGGGGTAGAGGCAGAAAGATCAGGAGTTAAAGTCCATCCTTCACTACATAGAGATTTCAAGACCAGCGACTCTCTCAAAATACGTGATGAAATCCTTTGAGGGTGTTTTGGTTTTTTTTTTTTAATTTGTTTTTGGTTTTTTGGTGGTTTTTTTTGTTTGTTTGGTTTTTTTTTGTTGTTTTTTTTTTTTTTTCTTTTCTGAGACAGTAACCACAGTTGACCTGGAAATCCCTATGTAGACCAGGTTGGCCTCAATCTCACAGAGATCCCTCTGTCTGCCTCCTGAGTGCTGAGATTACAGGCATGCACCATCATGCCTAGCTCTCTAAGTGATTTTTTTAAATGTTTTTCAAAACTCACTAGAAATATTGAGTCATTTAGGAAATGCTTTGTGTTTTTATCTCTGAAGTCTCCTATTCTTTGCCAAAAATTAAAGTATCCTTTACTGTTCAATTCATGTTCAGTCTTAGTATTGGCCCACAAACTTTGTGAGATGTCTTAGTTTGGGAGTGAAAACTGATATTACAAATCTGGCATCATAGATGGGAAGTGGCCTTATCATCTGTGCCTCTAATTAGACAACCAGAACCATTTCTTGTCAATAAAAAAGATAGAATATAAACTTCTGCAGCCACTATGTGAATGAGTTGGAGGTTTCTCAAAAAACTGGAAATAAAAGTGCCGTATGACCACCCAGCTATATCATTCTTGGATATATATCTGAAGGACTCTAAGTCAAAGTATCACACAGAAAATTGCATATCCATGTTTATATCTGCACTATTCATAATTGTTTGGAAATACAACCAGCCTAAGCATCCATCAGAAGATAAATGACTAAAGAAACTGTTGTACATGTACAGTATAGAATTTTATGAATCATAAAGAAAAATGAAATCATGACATTTGTAGGAAAATGAGTTCCATCAGAAATCATGTTAAGTGAAATAATCAGACCCAGAAAACAAATACCATGTTTTCTCTCATGTACAGAACCTATTTTAATATATGTGTTTGTGCTTATATGTGTGTGTTTTATGTTATAAAATTAAAAGGTGATTGAGAGGTCAGGGAAGAAATCTTAAGGAGAAAAAGATCTTAAGGGATGTACAAAAAAAGGATAAATGAATAAAATGTAATAAGAGAAGAAGAGGATACTAACTTGTAACAAAAAAAAAAAAAGCTATAGAGGTGGAGACATGACTCCACAGGTAAAAGACTTGCTGTTGAAGCATAAGGACAAGAGTCTAGTTTCCCAAAACCCATGGAAAAAAAGACACAAGGGCATGGCAGGCCTCCTGCCTTCCCACTGTAAGGGAGCAGAGACAGAGAACCACAGAGCAAGGCAGGTAAACAGACTAGGCAAGTAGGAAGAGGAGAACAATTGAAAAAGACGACTGATGCCAAACTCAGGCCTCCACATGCTCCTGTGCACGCGTAGGCACACACACACACACACACACACACACACACACACACACACACATGTACAAAGATACAAGGATGAAACCGAGTACATTGCATGCCAACCTAAAAATTTAATTTAAAAAGGTTACCAATCAAGCCAGGTATGATGGAACATGCCTTTAAGCCCATAACTCAAGAGGGAGATGGCTGTGAGCACGAGGCCAGCCTGGTCTACATTAGTAAGTTTCGTGTCAGCCAGGGTTACATAAATAAATATGGATTTTCTTTTTTCCTTTCTTTTTATTTTTGACTCAAACCCAAAAAGACACAGACTGTCAGTAATGTCCAACAGTGGGATGGACCCATCCACAATAATCAAGACAATTTCTCACAGACATGTCTACAGACCAACCTGATAGAAGCATTCTTCATTTGAGGTGCCTTCTTCCCAACTGACTCTACTTTGTGTCTAGTTGATAGTAAAAACTAATCAGTACAGGAACAGTAGTCCATATCCTCACTTCAGTGTCACGAAATTACACCATCATTTGATAATTACAGATACTAGTAGCCCCAAGCCCAAGATCACTGGGAAGCCTAGTACCTAGAACCACATATTTGTCATATGAGCCACTGCTGGCCGGACTGAAATCCCTGAAGCTCAGGTCCAGCTGAGCTCTCACTCTCACCTTCCATGGATTCCTGCCTCTCCAAGAGTGTTTAACATTTATGATTTTAAACCACTGAACCTGGTCTTCCAGTGCATATCTCAGTGCTGTGTTTTTTCTCCCTTTCCCCAACACACCTGGGAGATAAAGTATGGCTCAAACATAAGCTTCCTTGAGTGTATAAGTTGAGTGTTTCTGGATCATGGGTAAATCTGTCCAGCCCACAGGCTGCAAAGCTAACTGTGGCCATCAGAGATTCCTGACACACAAAGAAGGGAATCTCCCAAGAAGAAAACAACTCTATTGAACAACCGAAACTGAACTGGCCTAAGGCCAGGACAAGCCTAAATGGCAAGAAACAAAGGAGACACCAACTTCCACACCTCCATTTAGCAGACTCCAGAAAAAGAAAAGCAGAAAATAGCTGTTCTAATACCTCATGATTTTTTGGTAAATATAAATTTATAAATGGAGTTTTATTGAGCTGGAAAGAATAATATAATTATGTCATTTGCAAGAAAATGGGTAGAACTGGTAGTCATTAACCTAAGCAAAATAAGGTAGACCAAGAAAGACAAACATCACACGTTTTCACTCATGTGGAATCAAGATAAGCTATGTATTTAAGAATGGAAACTAGTTCAGAGTAGAAAGGGAACTAAAGAGAAGAAAAAGGGAAAAGAGAGGGTAATGGAAAGAAGAAAGAAGGACACCTCATTTTCTCACATATATGAAAATATGTATTTATACATATTATACAACATGAACGCAAAAGGAGGACTGCTTGAAAGGAGAAGGGGAATGAGCCACAATGGAAAGAAGCCAAGAGGTAAAGATAAGGAGAGTAGAATAAGACACCTGTATGAATGAAATCCAATGTTATGTATACTAACTATTAAGAAAATTGAAAAGTGAAACAAACCAAAGGAAATCCTTCAAGTGATGTAGTAGTTTCTAGATTTAGTTGTCTTTGTTTACTAAAATAAGTTGAATATAACTATATTTATAAATAGATTTGTATCACTTTAGAATTAGATAGAATTACATTAATTTAAATATAGTAACAAATATTATCAAGTACCACAGTCATATTTAATTAAAAGAGTAGAAGGCAGCAATGCCTAATATGCATGACTTTATACAAAAATGAAAGTGTATCATTTAATCTTTAATACTTCTCATTTTTAGATAAATCTTGTTGTTCCAACCTATGTAATAAATGAGTGGTAGTACTTGGCCTGGTGGCCTAGGCCTATAATCCCAGCTATGGGGAACACTGAGGCAAGAAGAACACAAACTCAAGACTTGCCCAAACTACACAGTGACGTCAAGGACAGCCTGGGCAATTCAGCAAGACACTGTCTGAAGAAACAAAAAAAGTGAACTTTAAAAGGCTGGGGGATACAACTCAGTGGTAGACTGCTTCCTTAGCTAATGAAAGATCTAAGCTAAATAGCCAGAATAACCAAAAAAGAAATTATTGTTTAAGAATCCTAGTTAGATCTTATAAGTTGACAAGATGCCTATTTCATTACACAGACATTTCAAGTAAGGATAATAACACTTAGTGGCAATTTCAAAAATATTAGAAAGACCATGGAGCATGGATATTTAGATTCATCAAATCTAGTCTTTTTTAATATTTTGTTTATTATTTTTACTTTGTGTGTATGCCTGTATTGCCTGCATGTAGGTAAGTGCACCTGTGTCATGCAATGCCGGCAGAGGCCAGAAGAGGCTATTGGATCCCCTGGAACTGGATTGCAGACAGTTGTTACCTGCCATGTGGGTGCTGGGATTTGAACCCAGGTCTTCTGCAAGAACAGCCAGTGTTCTTAACAGCTGAGCCATCTCTCCAGCCCCCAAATCTAGTCTTATTTAATGCTAAAAAGTGATATCATAATGCTAAAACACAAAACATAATATCATTAAAAATTATATCTCAGAAGTAAAGCAAATCAAACTATTTCATGATGCATTCTAGGAAAGCCTTTGAATTCCATGAAAACAAAAACATGCCTCCAAGTATTTGTTACTCTCATTCATATGATTGACTCTATTATTTTAGCACTCAGGAACTTACTTTATTAGACAGTTATTTAAAGATCTCAGGTCTATGTCTCATGTCTATTCAAGAAGTCAGCCTTTGCTTTACCTTGGCTCCTAAATAGTACCAATTATCGAATTTATTGATATAAGCCATTGCCTATATTGATGTAGGAGAGTTTTCTTTTAATACTTTCTGATAATAAACACATCCCAGATAAACTAGAAACATACACATGAATATCTGAATTTCTTTTAGAAAAGAATTCTTTGAATGCATCATGTGGACCTTGTTTTTTTTGTACTTTATTCACCTAGTAGATAGGTTAAGACATTATTCAACATATATTTGAAATAATGAAAAAATTCATGCTCTACATTTGTTTATACAACTGATACTTTTTATCCTTTTGTTAACTTTTAAGTTACTGATACCTTTTAAGTCTATAGGAAGGCCTTTATTTTCTCACATGGATAGTGTTTAAACCCATGGCCTCAAAATTAATACTGCAAATACATTTTAATTCAGGCAGAGTGGAGGCACCAACCATAAATACTACAGAACTTGATAACCATTCATTCCCAACATTATTTACTTATCGTGTCTAACATGAATTGTTCTCTAATATCCTTATGAATATTTAAAGGTATATATTATATTACTGATATTGAATTCATGGTGTATTATTACTTACAGACAACAGAATAGGTGTGATGACAAACCAGCAAGCTCTCCACCAGAGCCAGAAGATCCACCTCTTAGCTCCAATCATCATTTCTATATCTTCAATGAATCTATTCCCTCCTAAAGAAAACAGTTTCAAATTATGAGCACTTTCTCATAACTTCCTCAAATAATTAATCACCCAAATTATCCTTCTACATTTAATCATTCTGCTAAACCAACAATAAAGAATACACCTGAAATTTTATTTCATTTACAGTAAATTTTTGTTCAGTATATCACATTTTATTATTATACTTGTGATCACTAATAGTATGACTATATAATTTTAATAAAAATTACCCTGTTACAGTAAAACTTACAAACAATTCTACAGTCACTATTTACCATAAATCCAGATGACTCCTACAATTTCCAGTATAGCTACAATCAAAATGCCCCATCCAGCGCAGAAGTGATCAATCAGATGGACCCAGTAAATTCCAGCCTACAAAAAAACACCAATTTCTTCTAAGTGTATTTTAATTATTAATATTTTTACAAAGTGTTCAAACAGAATATATTATGTGACCAGTGTTAATATACAAAAAGCATGTTTAAATATAAGCTCAAATGCTATTATTTCAAAATTATCTCAAAATAAAAGGGTCATTGCACAACAGGGAGTGGAAAGATTGTAAAAGCCAGAGAAGGTAGATGACTACAGGGAAACAGAGTTTTCCAGACAGCTGGGAAGTTACTCATATGAGCTCACAGCAATGATGAAAGCATTTACAAGTCTCACATAAGCTCAAGCTACTCAAAATCTCAACATGGACCTGGGGGGGGTAGGTGAGAAACCCAAACTCTACTTGAGGAACTACTGACAACTGATGGCTACTGGGAAGGAGAGTCAATCTCATTTAAGGGTGAGACTCTTGGTAGGTTAACCAGGCTCCAGTGGATGAATCCACACTGAAGGGCATTTGGAAATACAAATTTGACCTGATAGGCATATTATGCATAGATATAGATAGATGATAATAGATAGATAGATAGATAGATAGATAGATAGATAGATGATATATAGATGATAGAGAGATGGTAGATAGATACAAAGATATATACATAGATAGATAGATAGATAGATAGATAGATAGATAAGATATAGATAGAATAGGGTTGGTGGGTAAGAGTAGGAGTGCAGATGGAGAAGGGGATCTAAATTCAATCAAAATATTTTTATGAAGTTTGTGAAAACTCAATTAAAAAGAAATCACACATGAAAAGAAAAGCATACACAATTCATTTTAGTAAATAAGACAGATTTAAATCTCTTTAAAATTTTTTATCTTATGCTATACTATACTATACTATACTATACTATACTGAGTCACTGGGAAAATATAAGCATTTAGAATAGCTGCATATACAAATGGAATATAGTAATCTATATGCTCTGTAGTAGTCACCAAGAACTTATAGTGTATGCTTAAATTCTCTAACCCTTTTCCTTATTTGTAAAACTGTCATTATTAGACTGCCACAAAATATGTGTACTAACAAAATTATTATGAAAAATGGCCAAAATTTTTAAAACCCCATCCAAGTAGACCTTGGATCTGCCACTAAACAACCCCCCTTAAGCCTTAGTATATTTATTTGGGTTTTAAAGTATATTCGTGCTAATATTTGTCTACAAAAGTTAAAAGCTGTACAATACCTGAGTCACACAGACGAGACCAAGGAGAAACAAAATCAAGCAGCAACCCAAAGTTATAGGAATCCTCATTTTTTTCATTGCTTTGGGAAATAAATCTTGAATAGTTGTTGTAATTGTTTCTAAGGAAGGGGAAATTGCATGTTACATTTCAAATGAGTAAGACTAATCTCAGAATATAACTTGTATTAATCACATTTACACATACATGCTAGGATGATGCACTGAGCACTACTTATTTTTAATAAAGCCCAAAAGATTCTTTCTCTTAGTTATCACATGTTGACAAAAATCAAATGCAGCACAATTTGCTCTTTTAAGTTTATTCTATACTATTTTCATTAATATCAACTATAAAGGGAGTCAAGTAGGAGAGGGCAGTAGAGGAGAGGGATGTGTAAGAACAATATTCTAATGCTACATATGCATGGAAATGCCACAGTGAAACCCATCACAGTGTATGCTGATTTAATCAAAAAAAGACCTTAAGGAAGTTTGAAAGTGAGTAGGCATTATAAACAGGATAATACCCTTTTGAATTTTCAAATTTGTGGCTCATTCTATACTGTGAGATTATTATACCATTATTAATTTAATACTGAATGTCCAAGTCTTCTAAAATACAATAAAATAAGAGACTAGAGAGATGGCTCAGCGGTTAAGTGTGAGTAGTGCTTTTGTAGAGGGCCTGAGTTTTATTCCCAGTACCCATGTTGGGTGACAAACAACTGCCTGAAACTCCATTTCTGGGAGCTCCAAGACCCTTTTTTGGACTCCAAGGGCATCTGCACCAACCTATACATACTGACACAGGAACATTCATATACAATATAATTATAAAAAATAAAAATAAATCTAAAATTTTGGGGCTGGAGAGATGACTCAGTGGGTAAGAGTACTCACTGCTCTTGCAGAGGACCCAAGTTTGATTCCTAGAACCTACATAGTATCTTACAACAGTTTGTAGCTCCAGTTCCAGGGAATCAGGTGCCCTCTTCTGGCCTTCTTAGGCACCAGGCACACACATGGTGCATACACATATATGCAGGTAAACACTCATACACATAAAATTAAAATAAATAAACCTTTATTAATGTGTTAAAATAGCTTTCAAAAATGTGCTTAAATAGCATTTTTTAAATGCTGCATTTTACTGTGATTTTTAGTAAAAAAAAACACATTTGTTGAAATATGCTACTACTGATATAACTGTGAATAAATCAATAAAGTAGCAGGTCTCTGGGGGCTGAAGTGATTTGAACAAGGATTATAAGGAAGAAAGGATTCTAATAGGACTTATATCTGGTGAATATTTAAATAAATGACATAGAGATAAAAACATTTTAGATTTAAAAAATAAATATGGGGTTGAGGTTTTAGCTTAGTGGTAGCACACTTGCCTAACAAATGCAAGTCTCTGGGTTTAGTCGCCAGCAGGAGGGGGAGGGGGAGAAGAAGAAGAGGGCAATGAAAAGAAGGGAAGGAAGGAAGGAAGGGAAGAGAAGGAAGAAGGAAGGAAGGAAAGGGAGAGAAGGAAGAAGGAAGGAAGGAAAGGGAGGAAGGAAGGAAGGAAGGAAGGAAGGAAGGAAGGAAGGAAGGAAGGAAAGAAAGAAGGAAGGAGGAGGGAGGAAAAGAGGGAGAGAAGGAGGGAAGAATGGAGGAAAAGTGCCTTCTGGTCATGACAAGACCACTTTATTCATGAACTCACAGCAGCTGCTGTTGCCTGCATAAGAACTGTACAAGATCAACAACATTACCCATGGAGGATGGAGGGATTCAGTACCTCCCACCCCTAACTGAGGAGGTATTGACAACTGATGACTTCTGGGTGAGAGAAGAAATCTTTTTTAATGTGGTAAAATAGCTTTTTAAAATGTGCTTAAATAGCATTTTTTAAATGCTGCATTTTACTGCGATTTAAGGGCATTATCTGTGAGATTATTATACCCTTATTAATTTAATACTGAATGTCCCAGTCTTCTAAAATACAATAAAATAAGAGACTAGAGAGATGGCTCAGTGGTTAAGTGTGAGTAGTGCTTTTGTAGAGGACCTGAGTTTTATTCCCAGTACCCATGTTGGGTGACCAACAACTGCCTGAAACTCCATTTCTGGGAGCTCCAAGACCCTTTTTGGACTCCAAGGGCATGTGCACCAACCTATACATACTGACACAGGAACATTCATATACAATATAATTATAAAAAATAAAAATAAATCTAAAATTTTGGGGCTGGAGAGATTAAAGGCATGCACCACCACGCCTGGCCTTATGTGAATTATTTTGAACTTAAAAATATTAAATAGAGGGGCTGGAGAGATGGCTCAGCAGCTAAGAACACTGGTTGTTCTTGGAGAAGACCGGGGTTCGAATCCCAGCACCCACATGGCAGCTAACAACTGTCTGTAACTCCAGTTCCAGGGAATCTGACAGCCTCTTCTGTCCTCCGAGGGCATTGCATGATACGGGTGGTGCATGCCTTTAATCCCAACATTCAAGAGGCATGGGCAGGCAGATTTCTGTGAGATTGAGGCCAACCTGGTCTACATAGTGAGTTCCAAGCCAGCTGGGGTTACAGGGGGAACCTGTCTCAAAAAACTTCATGAAGATCATTGTGCAAGTAACAGCTAAAAGAAGGCAATGGGGTAATGAAACAGGATCTTTTCAAGTAAAGGAAATAGGAATGAATTTGGACAGTTATTTAACACTGTGGGTATTACTTACCAATTGAAGCAAATTGAGAGTCGAGACCCAATGTTAAAAGCATGAAGAAAAATAATATGGACCAAAATGGACCGCCAGGAAGTTGGGCTAGAGCCTCTGGATAAGCAATGAATGCCAAATCGAAACCTAAGAAAAAAAATAATGTATGGTACTTTAAATTTATCGCCAAGAAAATTCTTGTATTTGGACATTTTCAAAGTAATATACCAAAAAAACTCATTTTGATTTAGCAAAGCAATCTTTGACATACAGTTTTTACCAATTACCTTATTTTCACTTTTTAAAATGTTTAACTCAAGGGCCAACAAGATAGATTTGTGTGCATAAGCATTTGCCATGCAAGCCTTATAACCTGAGCTCAATTTCCAGAACCCACATTGGAAGGAGAGAACAGACTCCTGAAAGTTGTCTCCTGAGCTCCACATAAGCACTGTGGTATTTCACATACATGCACTCTCACACACAATAATAATAAATAAAATATGTATAATGTTTGAGTTATTATGCTAATATGATATACTAATGTCGATATGTAACATGAATTAAGCCACTAATACAAATTTCAATAAGGAAAACTTCTTACCGAAGAATTTTAAATACACTTTAATAGTTTTATTTAATCTGTGTGTGTGCATATGTGTGTGTGTGTGTGTGTGTGTGTGTGTGTTAGTGTGACTTGCTAATGCCACGGTATGCATGTGGAGATCAGAGGACAACCTTAGGTACTGGTCTTTGCCTTCCACATTTTTAATATATGGAGTCTTTGTTGTTTTTGTTTCATATGACAGGCTAGTTGGCCCATGAGCTTACAAGGATTCTCCTGTTTCTGTCTCCCATCTCTCCATAGAAGTGCTGGGATTACAGACACTATCACTATGCCTCAACTTTTATTATGTTGGGTTTCAGAGATTTGAACTTAGGTCCTCATGCTTTGTCAAGAAGGGCTTTTATCTGAGTTATGTCTCTCAAGCCCTTAACCTCTTTTATATTCTAAGATGGACATAAAGTGCAGTGGTGCACACCTGTAATCTCAGCACCTGAAACTTGGGAGCAAGAGGATCCAGGTCAAGGTCATCCTCTGAAATGCACTGAGTATGAGGGTAGCCTGGGCTGCATGAAATTCCTATCTCAAACAACAACTAAAATTCCAAGAACTTAAATTAGTTTACTTTAGGTGAGGATTTCTAAAAATTAAAACTGAGCTATCTAGAAAGATGGTCACTCAAAATCATTATGAGTAATACTATTTTAACAAGTTTATGGATACCTTCAGATTTGTATGTAATAAAATCAGGAGTCAAATCTCATTTTTGATTTGATGTTACCTCTAGAGATGCTTTGTATTTTGTTACAATTTTATTGTGTGATCCTCAGCTTTAAGGACTTTCAATTTCCCTAATTTCCCAGAACACTGACATAGAAGTCATAACATGGGCTTCTAAACTAGGCTTTGTCACATTCTAAACGTCTGTGCTTGTGCAAGGCATGAATGGCATTTTTTGTGCCATTTTCATTAATCTTATGAAGAGATGATCCTTAAATGATCTCCAAAGTTCCTTCTAGCCCTGACATTGTATTATGATTTATCAGTATTTCTTTTAAATGATACTAAGCATAATAAAATTTTAATAAGGAATTTCTACTAAAGAATCCTAAGATTTTTTTCTAAGAATCATTTTTAATGAGTTAAATTTTATTTCCAATATCTATCAAGCAACATGTAATATACATATGAATTTACAGAAACTGAGAGGCAACTCTATTCAATCACAAGGTCATACTCTGGCCATTTTGATCTTTAGAGAATTTGTTGATTCACTCACTATCTGTAGAACTTCTATTTTGCCTAGCACTATGCAAAGTCAGGGTTCTGGAACCCTGTAAATATGATGGGCATTTCTCAGCATTTTTGGTCTAATCTTTGGCCACTTATTAGGCATCTCTAGCTAATTTCTTTAAAGTTAGGAAGTTCGTTAACCATATTCCTTGAAAGCTAGACAGAGTTTATGCAGTCAGAGTCAGTTGAATCTCTGTATTATATAGATAGGATTCAAAGTTCAGATCCAAACAAGGCATGATGGAGCACACTTAAATTCTTGAACTTGGCAGGCAGAGACAGATGGATCTCTTTGAGTTCCAGGCCAGCCAGAGTTACATAGTGAGACCCTACCTCAAAAAAAAGTGTTGAGAGTCAGACTTGGTGGCCCCCACCTTTAACCCCTGCAATTGGAAAGCAGAGGCAGGCAGGCAAATCTCTGTGAGATCGAGCCAGCCTGGTCTCCATAACGAGTTCCAGGTCAACTGTGGCTACAGGGTGACCCTCTCTCAAAAAGACCAAAAAAACAAGTTAAAAGTTCAGACCCAATACTATAATTGTACATGAAGAAATTTGGACATAATTGCCTATCTCTGTTCTATCTCCCATAATTCATGGAACATGCTTAGCATAATACCTGAATTTTGTGATTGTTTAGTGAGTGAGTGAGTGGTTCACATTAAGGAATAAACAAAATACAGCAAAATAGTCTCCTTTTTGTGACAGGTTGCCACTTAACCCCAGATGACCTTGATCTCTTTATGTAGTTAAAGCTGGTCTTAAACATCTAGTCCTCCTGTCTTCACCTCTCCATTTCTGGGATTACAGGCATATGCCATCACACCTAGCTTCTAAGGAAGCCCAGGATTTTGTGTATGTTAGGTAAGTGCCAAGCTACATTCTCAACATTATGTCTTCTTAAAAAGTGATCCCTAAAATACTCTTACGTAGATTATTTAGGGATGCTTTACTAAAATGAAGTATGTCAAGAGATATAAAAAATATAATAATTCTAATCATGAATATAAATTGCTGCAAACTGCATCTGCATTACATAAGTGACATATTCAGTTAACTAAACTTATAACATAATATACCTGATTTTACAACTTGAGAGACTTCCTGTCCAGATATATGAGCCATGTGTCCCAATATAGAAAAAATAGCAAATCCAGCAAACACACTAGTGAGGCAGTTTGTCAAACAGACTACAATGGCATCCGAGTAGCAATTGTTATTGAACTTATTGTAAGATGATAGAGCAACTAAGCCACCCCAAGCCACTGAAAGGGAATAAAATATCTGTGTGGCAGCATCTTTCCAAACCTGTAAAGAGAAAAGTAAATATTTTAAAATGTATGTGCTAAAAAATAAATAAAATATATGTGCTTAATTTTAATTCACATACCATATTTCACAGATAAATATGAATATATTTTATAGCACAATGAGATAAGCACCCAAGTGTTCACAATCTAGACTAAGAAAAAATGGCAAGAGTCTTCTAACGTTTGTTTCCATGTCTTCCTTTCATAATCCAGTAGTAACTATGATCTTGATTTTGCTATCTATCCTTTCATTTTTCTTCTTTACATTTAGTTTGTATGCTTGCAGAAAAATATTATCATGCTGTATGCAAATATATACAACTTGCCTTTTCAGTTCAGCATTATGGTGTCTAATAATTATCAAGTAGAGTCACATAAAATCTCAAGTTTATGTAATTTATAATTTAGTAATTTAAAGCTTAAAGAAGAAGCAAAATCATGTAGTTTAATTATAAATATGTCATTATTATATGAAATCCAGAAAATTCAACAAAATATTTTTTTAAAAGAAATTCTTTGGATATAATATTACCCAAAAGGAAAAAATTTAATTGTCCAACTTCCCAATCACAAGGCTCATGTATATTTGGATTTACCAGAAAAATTCACAATTAAGTAAGTATCTGACTTGCAAGTATTTGCAAAAGAAAAACATCGTTGGTTGGGAGTTAGCATGTGGTTCATGCAAAAGTCATAAGCAAATTAAAACTATCCATTTTGGTTAGTACTACTTGCATGGCAGGCAAAATTAGCACAGTTTTTCCTTATTTTAAATAAGATTTTAAGTAAGCTTAAAATGTATCCTAAATGTGGTATGAATACTTTAAGAAGTGTAAACATCCTTGTACTATATCAACAAGAGCCTGGATGCTAAGGGCAAACTCATGGTTAATGCTCTGTGCGGTTAAAATTGTAAAACATTTTATATGTCCATGACACACAGCCATCTGGAGATAGATTACATTTAAAGGGGGTTATTTAGAATCAGAGACATGGCTCAGTGAGTAAGGGCACTTGCTGCCAACCCTAACAACCTGAGTTCAATCCCTAGATTTAACACGATGGAAGGAGAGAACTGCCTTCTGAAAACTGTACTCTGACCTCCAGATGTGCTCCATGTTGTAGGCGTGTTCATACACACACAATAAATTGATGTTTATAAATGAGGATTATTTGATTCATATTCATTACATGTGTTTCTGTTGTGATAAAAGTAAGACTTTTATTTCTAGACTACTTAATCCATGTCATTTGTGTTGTAGCTCTGTAATCCACTGGGCAAAATTTGATCTTATTTCTGGAATATTAGCAATTGAAGGTAACCAAAATGCATATTATTAGATCAAACTTTCTATTATAATCTTTAAAACTACTACAAAATTAGCCAATGAGTCCCATAATCTTAGTCATCAATTTGCAGATGTAAATACATGAATTCTCAAAATAATAAACTCTAAAACCTATTGATCACTTACACTCAGTCACATTAATACAAACATTTTTCAGATTCCATTACTAAATTAATCTTATTTCCAATTAGAGTATTAGTCTCATTTTTTTGGAAGAGGATTAACTTAAATTTATTAATGCCAAGGGGAAGGTAACAGCTCCTGACCCTCCAGCTGTATATCCACAGTTTGGCCAGGAACAGGCTCTGCCAGAGGCTAGGGCCAGTGCTACATAGTCTGTGGTTAATGAAGGTGTCTGAGGGAGGGGTGAGCACACCAGCTGCTCTAGGCTCCTTTCCTTCCCCAGAAATGAGGAAGTGGTCATTTATTATTTTTAGGAGTCCCCCTCCCCACCCAAACCTCTTAAAAATCAGGGGCAATCAGGTACAAGTTCTTTCTTTTCCTTTTCACCCTCTGGAGTCCTGGGTTTCCCCATATTGTTCCCTGCCCCCTCCCCAATTCCACAGTCCAAGGGCCAGGGTACATATTTTAATCACACATCATATTTGCCAGAAACTCTAAAAGTTTGACTGCATATTATTTTGTAAGCTACTATATTACAACACTTATCTGGAACAAGAATTTGATACTTGATTTTAAGGTGTAACTTCTCAATCAATTTTAAATGCAGATTGAGACTTACCTCAGCTTCCCTAAGTTTTGTAAAATTTGACTGTGTTCCAATATAGTAGGAAATGCCTTTTGATGCACCCTCCAATGTTGCACCTCGTATTAACAGAATGAGGAGTACCACATAGGGAAAAAGAGCTGTAAAATATACCACCTACCAAATAGAAAAACCAAAAGTTAATGCCATTTTTAAACCATAGTCAGTTGAAGTTATTTAAAGAAATTTTTGGAGGTTGCATAAGGAAGTCCAATGATATCAATACCAAAGTTAACATAATTTCCTATTTCTGTTCTCATCATTCCTAAATGATCAATTTTCAAAAATGCTTTGTGTAGAACAGTATTTCTAAGGCTCATGCTGTAGATAAACAATACGTTAACCATGATCACTTAGGATATGGATAGCATACTGTCTTAAATACATACTTATAAATGTCTAGTGGCTGTTGGGAGGCAGAAAATCAGTCTCTTTCTAGAATGGGATTCTTGGTTGATTAGCCAGGTTCCAGTGGATAGGCCCACATTGAAGGGCATTTGGGGGCACAAATTAGATGCTATAGGAGAATATATATATGTATAT